AAATTATTCTCGGTTAGAAAATATTTAATATTGTTTAATTGTTAATTATTTTTTAATTGGATTTTTTTTACGTTTTCAAGTTAAATAAAATAATTAAATAAATACGTAAACAAATTTAATTTTAAAAGGTGGGGGAGGGGGAGGGGGGGGGGGAGTTAAAACGAGATGTTTTGACTCGGATATTACGTAAGCGGAAACCAAAAAAAAAAAAAAAAAAAAAAAAAAAAGTTTTCAAATATGACTTTTGTACCTGGAAGGTAAATCAGGTCGAGGAGGTATTACAAAAAAAAAGTAATTAAATAAAACTTCCGATGTAATTTAAATACTATTTTTTTTTTTGGCAAAAATAATAAAAGAAGAAAATTGCCATCATTCTCTCTCTCTCTCTCTCTCTCTCTCATTTAAACAGTCGTTGAATACCATCTTTAGTACAAAAGGTTAATTTTTACTATAAAAATTACTAAAATTTGTTGTAAAAATTTAATTTGTCAATGTCATAAACTCGGAAATTGTCATTAAGGACGTAAAAAAAACAAAAAAAAATTTGTTTTTGATACCTGTTACGTATTTTTCACGAACCTTTTAATTTTTTTTTTTTTTTTTGATAAGAAAATTTTATTTAAGGTCGTAAGATAAACATTTTAATTTTGAAATTTTCATCGTAAACCCGGAAAATTTTTTTTTTTTAATTCTATTAGGTAACTTTCGTAAAACTATTTTAATTAAATGGTCCTTTCTTTACTTAAAATCAATAAAATTTTTGAGGTTATTGAACTCTAGTGTAAGAAATTTAATTAAACGTTTTTAATTTAAAAAAATTCAAATAATAATAATGACAGTTTTTTTTTTGTAAATATTATTATTTCAATTGACTGACACGCATAAAGAAATTAGGGGTTGAATTTTTTTTAACAGGAAAAATAAATTTTCCCCCCTTTTCTTTTAGGATTGTTAACAAATGAAAAAACGTGTTTAAGTTAATTTGCAAACATATTAAAAAAGTAATGTGAGAATTTTTTTAAATGAAGGTGAATGATGAGATGATGATGATGATGATGATATTTGTGTGAATCATGAACGAATAACCTAATTAAATATTTTTTTAAATAATTTTAAATTTTAATAAGTTCTAAGTAAAGGAAAAACGTTAAATTTTTATTACGTTCTTAGTATAAATACCAAAAATAACAAAAATTTTCCTTTTTTTTTTTTTTTTCAAAAAAGCTTAAATAGTTGAAACCTTAAGTTTTTTTTTTTTGCATTTCGATTTTACCTGTTTTTTTAATTTTTTTTTTGAAGGGCACATAAAACTGGAATGAAAACTTGTTTTCGATTCTATATATATATATATATATATATATATATATATATATATATATATATATATATTGAAAACTTGAAACGCGCACAAATAATATAAGTTTACATAATTTTAATATAAATACATACGTACATTCGTTTCGTACGTAAGTAAATGTCTTGTCCATTATTATTATTATTTACTACTTGAAAACAAGGTGTACGACGAGCAGGTTTTTAAATGCATAAATAATCCATTAATAGTTGGGTTTTTTTTTTGCAGAATCCATTTTTTTTTATTTTTTAACATTAAAAAAAAAAAAATTTAAATTTTTTGTTATTATTATTAACTATTTACTTATTATCATTAAAAGGAAAAGTTGGTAACCTTGTCAATATTATGTGGATCATTAGAAGTTTAAATTCTTTTGTCGTACTTATTATCAAACTTTTCTCTTTTTTTTAACTGTTAATTAATGACCACATTTATATATATATATATATATTTTGACACGTTTAAATGACCCTTTCTCATCTCACTCATTCACTCACTCTCCCTCTCTCTCTCTCCTTCTTTCTCTCCCTTTAAGAAAACGACGTAAAAGGGTTTTTTTTTTTTTTTTTATTAAATTTTTTTATCAGATATTAAAAAAAGAGAGAAAGAGAGAGAGAGAGAGAGAAAGAGAGATAAAAAATTTTTTTAAAGAGAGAAACTAAAAATTTAAATTATAACTTTCATTGTACATAGCTTGGAGTCAAAAAAAAAGAAAAAAAAAATTCTGGGCAAACCAGAATTTTCACTTGAATAAAATTCACGATGTTTTTTTTTAATTATTGCAAAACATGTTTTTTTTTTTTTTTTTCATTTATTTTGTAATAATAATAATAATAATAATAATAATAATAATAATAATAATAATAATAATAATAATCGAAACAGTCGATAAATTTAAAAAATATTATTATTATTTTTTAATTTTTTATTTTTTTTTTCTCTTATCGAGAACGGTATTAAATTTTAAAATTTCATTTAATATTAATTACATGTAAAAAAAAAAACGCTTAGGAAGTTAAAAAAAAAAAAAATAAATGAAAAGAGAGAGAGAGAAAGAGAGAGAGAAAATTATTTATATATATATATAAAATTATTCAATTTTTATATAGAAAGTTAAAATCAAATTAATATTTAATAATATTTATATTTATCTGCAAGGTGAAAGTTTTTTACTTTTCAACCGTGAATAAAAAATAAATAAACTCTTGTTAACTAATATTAATGATATTTACGACAATAATAGTAATAATAATAATATATGATGATGATGATGATAATTAATAATTAATAGAAGTTTAATGACATTGGTCATTGAAAATATATTTCGCCATTTTTAATTTTTAGAGATTAAGTCTCATTAAACATTGTTTTTGAGATGAGTTCATTTATAAAAGGACAGATTTTTTTTTTTTTTTTTTTAATGTTTAACGCATTAACCGAGGGTCATGTTTTGTTAAAATTAATTAATTTTTTTTTTTTTTTCATTCACTCACTCACTCACTCACTTACTCTTTACGGTAATTTTTTTTTTTTTGCAAAACCTTACTTAGATTCGATTACCTAATTTCTAGATATTCGCGTATTTAAAAAAAAAATAATAATAATAATAATAAAACATCTTTTTTCTTCTGCTTCTTCTTCTTCTATCAAATTAAATCCAACAACTTTTTAATATTATTCTTCCGCTTCCTTTTTATT